AAGAAAAAGCTGGGAGTATTTTCATTGCAACAATAACAGAGAAAGATCTGAGCAAATTCAAACAGAGAAAAAACAACTTTAGATTAATTAACTGTGCTTTGATGTGAGGTGTTTGCACAGGTGGAAATCAGACAGAGAGACAGGGCGGTCCAAATCCCACCTGCAGGAAAAAAAAGTATCAAGACAGCAAATGTAATATTCTTTTACAGAAAGGCTATTTCTTTTTTTCTTTTTTTTTGCTTAGACTAATGGTGATGTGTCAAATGATTAGAAGGATTACTAAAACATAGTGCTATAGTTTGGTTAATGGTCTCTTTACAGCTACACTCCGGCTCAATCTGGGATACCCAAAGGCCTTTCCCCCCCTTATTTCTAACTTTTATTTAACCAGATTAGTCCAACTGAGTTGAAAGATGTCCCTCCACATTCCTAGGTCTCACACACTTTCATAACCAATGGAAGACCTGCAAACGACTGATGTTTTTCACCCTGTATCTAAGGCTGAGCTCAGCCGCCCAACGTAGGAAGCTTGATTCAGCTGCTTGTGTCTTTCTTTACTTAAGGATCAATATCTTAATGACCATAGTAAAAAGTCAGAACATAGACAGGTAAATTAGGAGGCTTGCATGTTAGGCGTGGCTACTTGTTAGCCTTGACAGATTGGAGCAGTAAAAGCATTACAACCCACAAAGCCCTAATTCATCCATCTACAAGTCCATCCTACCATCACTCATGACCAAGACATCAGATATTTTAACGCCTTGCATCAAGGTCTTGTTTAAAAAATGGACAAATAGAGACTAACGTCCTGCATCTTTATCCCTTGGCTAGTCATTTGCACACTGGTAGGGACTCACATCATATAAAAGCTTGTCAGGTACTTTTATATAAATATTATTGATTAATAATCCAAAGTATCACATAATATAGCAGTTTCAATTTCAAGATTATATCTTAAATAATCTATAGTTGAAACTAAATTTGTTTAGAAGCATAGTACAGAATGTAAAGGACGGCTTAATTTTCCGTCCTTTATTATTTACAGTTGGCACATAATCATTTGTTCTTAGTAACAACATGTCTTCTTGGTTTCATGCAAATCATCAAATTTCAGGTATTCCAAATGATGAATTACATAGCACATATTTTCAGTGTTTGTTTGTTCAGTAGAGATGGCTGCTGTTCCTCTGCGCCATCTGACCAGATGCAAACTGGATGAATCACTTCTATGCTTTTATCTTCTGCATTAGGCTATGTGGTCTGTGTGGTGTATGTGGTCTGGAAAATAAGCAGTTCTTATCTTTACAGAGACAGACTCCAGGACTCAGTAATAGAATAAAGGAAAGATTTAGTTATTGCACAACAGCGTCAGCAAGGAAGAGGACCAGGGGTTATTCTAGCATCAGAGGTTTAGGGGTGCTGAGCACCCAGACAGCCGTCTGTCAAGATACATTTTAATGTTTTTCACATACATTTTTAAATCTTGCTCAGTGCCATTTGCCAGTTTCTGACATCATTCACTAATGCATCCTATCTGAGACTTTAGCCAAATACCAGACATGCAAAGCAGCAGAGAGTGTCATTTTTTTTTTTTTTTTTGAGAAACATACTCCAACCATTTAAAGTTTTGGAACCAGTTTTCATGAAAGCCTCTTTTTTGTGTATTAACTGGGTGAACAGTATACAGATAATTAGGAAAATGTAATAAAGACAGATGTCTTCTTTCCCAAGCTCCGCCGATGTCTGCTCGGGAAAGCTGAATCTCCGTGGTACTCCTTTCATCTCCCACACTTCTCCTTGCTCTGGTTCCATGCTGGCTTCTCAGTTGTACCACTGTCCTACACCCAGTCAGCCGTAGTCTCTAACCCGTTCTGTCTTCCAAGTAGTCTAATCTGACCAGTTAGCCTATATATCTACCCCCAGCCAGTCCCTGCCTCTCAACATTGCTGTTTCCCCAGCAGGCTTCCCACTCTGCCTCCTCTCCCCGCTCTAATGCACTGATTCCCCGAGGGGGCCTCTGCTGATCTCCCATGGTGATTCCATATTTCCAGAGGCTGACACAGCTGACAGCCTCATTCTGGATCAGTTTTTTTCTCTGCCCTTTTCTGGCACTGATTTCCCAAAGCTCCAGTCTGAGCCCCAGAACGGTGTCTCACCTAACCCTTTATTGTTCGGGTGATTCATCCCAATGCAGGACAGCAGAGCCCCGAAGAGGGTCACAGATACGCATAAAGCGATCATCATCCAGACCCAATCTCTGGAGGAGGAGGTGGTATTCCCATTACTCTTTCCGTCTCTGGGAATTTGGTGAATCTTGGAACTACGACAGCTTTTTTTCCAGCTTTCTAAAGTAAAAAACACTACCAGTTGCCTTGTAATTCCATGATGCCACGATAAGGTAAAACCAACGATCAGCAGGTCTATGAAGTAGGACACTTCCGCCTGCCGTGGGAAATGCTTTCTTTTATTAGGCGAATATCAAGGCAATCAAAAGCAGATGAAACGGGCGAAATTTGCCCAGAGTTTGCGTTCGGTGTGAATGCACCTTCAGACTGAGTCTCTGCTGGAGTTAGGGAATGTAGGTAGGTGGATCAAACCATTTCAAAGGCAGTGGGGGTTAAAATATAACTTTTTAAGTACTGTATATTTTACACTTTAACAGTTTTGGTTTTGTTTGTTTTTTATTTTAGAAAGCACATACAGATATAAAAACGCCTGTGGAGAGGACACAGTTCCCATCCTTAGCATACAGTATTTTTTTATCATCTTGAAACCCGATAATTGTCTCCCATGGAGTCTAAATTTAACATTTCTCGCTGTTGCAAAGTTAAAACATTATAATTTTCTTAGACAATACAACAGCAGAAATACATTGTTTAGCTAATCAAGATAGGAATGAATAATAATAATTCTTCCTTTTCTTCTAAAAAGCTAACACCTCTGCAAATAAGAAACACAGACACAATTTATCAGCATTATAAAATAAAATGTTCTTACCTGCCTCCAGACTCCACAGACTTTGTTTGTTATATAAAAGCTATATCAGTGGGCGGATAGTTTTGGACCAGAATTTGGAGAAGCTCTCCAGCATAATAAACTTTTGGTTCCGATGATAGTTGAAGAGCTTTGAAATCTTACATAAACCTCCCTTTTCACAGAGTCAAATATACAATACAATCAGCGATATCAGTGCTTGGGGGTAAGCCTCCTCTTTGCCTCATCTTCCTAAACCATTTCCCTCCATCATTCTTCGGTCTCTTTCTTAATTTTCTTTATCATTATTTTATAAACCAGGCGCTGGCAACAGTGCGTAACGTTGGATAATGTTATCGGGGCCAGGCACGGTGGCTCACTGCATCGTGCTTAATTGCAATACTATGGTGGGGATGGGCAGTAGAGAATATGTCAGTTTGGTGTGTTTATGACTGAACAAGAAAAGATGAGTAAAAAAAAAGAGGAGGAAAACAAAAGCGTATATTGTCTTTGTCCAGGAATTCAGTTTTTTCACAGGTTTTTTTTTATCTTTATTTTAGTAGCTTTTCTACAAAGATAAGTAAGCAATGGATTCTGTATTTCCGTTTGGAATTAAAACTTGACTGTGATTATTGGGGCATTTCCCATTGGGAGGATATCTAGGATCC